GGCGCCAACCCCACGGGCGGGCGTGCTGGAGCGCCCGCCCCGGGCACCTGGCACTCAGCCGCAGAGTCCGGGCGATTCCACGCGCAGAGCGGCCTGCGGTCCTCGCTCCTCCGTGGAGCAGAACCGGGCGGGGAAGGGGTGGTGGGCCACGTGACTCACGCCCTCACCCGTGTCCACACGGACACGGATACGCGTCTCGGCCTGGGTGGTGGGGTGTCCGGTGGGCCTGGGCCTGGCCCCAGGTCGTGCTGTCCTCAGTCGGGGGAGACCGAGGAGCAGACACCTCGCCCGCAGGTGAGACGGACCCAGCAAGTGTCAGAGCAGCTGACACGGAGTGAGGGGCAGGCTCCTCTGCAGCCTGGCCGTGGAGGGAGGGACGGGGACCCCCGTTTCCCACAGGAGCACAGGGCCCGGCCCCGGCCTCCGCCCCAGCACCCCCGGGCGATGCCGGGCACCTCCGCTCCCCAGCTGTCCTGTCCCAGCGCCCACCCCGCCCCCGGGGCAGCGGAGGCCATTAGCCCACAGTGCAGCCGGAAACAAATTGTTCCCGTCGGTGCTGGGAATGCTGGGATGGGTCTAAAAATAACCAAGCATAATGAGTTGACTTGTTTTTAAAAGTTTCTCTTTGTGAAACATAACACACTCTGGTTTGGGTTTGTCTGGTTGATACGGCTCTGTCGGAACTGCTGAGGTGGCTCTGTCTGAGATACTTACAGCACGTGACCTGCGTTGGCCCCGGGGGACGTCCGTGGGTGATGGGGGGGCCCGGTGACTCCATCACAGGCCCCCCTCCCCCGAGCGGAGCCTGGGGGGGGGCGGAAGGAAAGGCGGGAGAAGGCCCGTGTCTGTGGACGGTGTCCCCCCCTCACAGCCCGGGGACCCTCGCTGGGCCCCACCTGCCCTGTGCCAGCCCAGCAGGGGCGAGAGCGCAGCTGACCCCGCACAGGGTGGGGCGCGGGGTGCCGACCCCCGTGCCGTCAAAGGTTCGCGTACAGTCCTGACCCCCCGGGTCTCCATCGCTGGCAACACGAAGAGCTGACCGTTATGTGTGTGTCGTCTGTGCCGGAGGCCGCATTTGCACAGGGAAGCCGGCTGGAGAAGAGAACAGGGCGTCGGGAAAATCGTGAGGAAGAGAAAACACGTTTACTGCTGTGTGTTCACGGATGCCGTGAGCTCAGGGCGTCCGCGTCTGAGGTGCGTCGTCCGCCAGCACCTGCGTCGTCGCCCTCGTCTGTCGGGGTGCGGGACACGGCGGGCGTGTGCCCGGCGGGAGGCCCAGGTGTGTGGGAAGGAGCTCCTGCTCACTCGCGGGTGCGAGGGTCTGCAGCGCCCACGTGCGGATTCACGGTGTCCTGGGGCAGACGCACGGCCGCCTGGCGGCGGCGAGGGGGTCCCCGGAAGGTCTCCCACGTGTGTATGGAAGGAAGTCCACAGGCCAGGGACCCGCGCAGCTCCAGCCCCCGCTGCGCAGGGGCCGTCCCGGGCCTGCGCTGCTCTGTGGACAGTGACGGACGGGCGGACAGAGAGAGACACGGACAGGTCAGCCCCGGTCAGGGGCTGGACATCTGCAGGCTGGTGCTGCCCTGCCAGCTCAGGGCCCCCCTCCAGAGGGCAGGCGGGAGCCCTCCTTCCGGACCCACGTGGGGCGGTCCCGCGGGCTGCCAGGACACGGGCCAGGTCCAGAGTCCTCAGCCCCAGGGGCTTCCGTGGCGTCTGGCACGGCTGGGCAGCGCGGGCCCCGGCGGAACGTGTGTCTGGTCATGGGCGGGGGAGGGGGGGGTCCCCTGCGGGCGCAGACTCGGTGGGAGGGAATCACTTCCGTTCTCGCTCCCACGCACGGAGCACGTCCTGGTCCCAAACCGGAGTGTTTTCTGGACCTGTGTTTGCCGCCCGTGTAGAAGCGAGAACCACCTGCAGTGTTTTTACGGCGCCTCGTGGCCGGGGCCCCACCTGAGACGTAACCCGCCTGTCAGAACCGTGGGGCGCCGGGGGTGGAGGGTGGTGGAGGCCTCGGGGACTCGGGGGAAACCGGGGCCCCGCCGTGCCAGGGGCCGGGGGTCCACGCAGCCTCGGCCTCGCTCAGAGCTGAGCCTTAAGTCCCTGCGTCCTCACGGCAGGCCATCAGCCGTGGCGCAGGTGCAGAGCGAGCACCAAAAATTTACGCCCTGCCCCCGGCACAAATGGCAAGGCTGAACCTCGGGCTCCTGACGCAAGGACGTGGGGGGCCTGGGACTCAGGCGACGGAGGGTGGGCAGCTGCAGGGGGACTGTCTCCGGCCGGGGGTCCGCCGGCTGCCCCGGGGAGGGGGGACAGGGAGCCGCTGCCTGTCGGCTCCTGTCATTTCCTGCCGGCGTGGGTGGGTGTGCGCGCCGTCGGCCGTGGCCGGCAGCCGGTGATCTCGGAGCCCAGAGAGCGGACCCAGTCACTCTCGGCTGGGACTTTCGTCCTCGCCGCCCTGCCCCGCTGCCGGAGCTGCCCGGGCCCTGTCGTGCGGCCACCAGGTGAGCGGCGCGGGCGGAGCCAGCCGTGGGAGCGGCACCTCCAGGAGAACGCGGCCCTGGGAGCCTTGCTCGCGTCTGGGTCCACCAGGCCTCCTCGCACCTGACACGCCCAGACTGCCGGGGACACGCACTCAGACGTGCCCCGCAGACAGGGACACGGGGACACGGGGACACGGCACCCAGACGGACACCCGGACACAGCAGTGACTCTGCATCTGGGGCCTGAGCTGCGCAGCTCCCAGTGGCCTTGGGGAGCCGGCGGGTCACACGGTCACCGTCCCCACTCTCCAGGACACCCCGGCCCTCGGTGTCACCTCTGACCCGCACTGGCCGGGCCTTGGCCCGCCTCCCCCGCGGGGCCGGGAGGCAGTGTCTGAGGATGCAGAACTCAGGACGCCCACTGAGGTCAGAGTTCGGACGAGGACGATGACCAGGTCCGCGGGAGGTGGGCCCACTGTGCGCCAGATGCGCTAGAAAGTGCTCGTTCCCGGGCTGGGACCCCGGTCTCCGTGGGGCCCGGCCCTGCTGGTCACCGGCCGAGCAGCCCCTCGCCTCGGAGGGCGGCGGTCTCCAGGGCGGGCCGCTCCCTTCCGGGTCGGCGACGCCAGCGGGTGGCCGAGGAGCTGCGGGGGGCGCCCACCGCTGCCGCCGGGGTCCGGAGCTCACTGGGACTGCTGGGCGCCCCCTGATTGATGGGCCAAGTCGAACGTAACGAACGGCAGACGTGCTCCCGAGTGTGGTGCCCCTTGTGCGTAGTCACCGGGACCTTGGAGACTCCTTACGGGGCCCCAGACGGAAGTGCAGGGAACAACGGCCGAAAATGGGGGGCTGCCCGCACAGGGGCCCAGCGGCAGGACCGGCCCCCGAGGTGCCCGGCCCATGCCTGCAGCGTGCTGCATCGGAGGCCCCGGCCAGCAGCGGGGTCTGTCGTGAGGACTTTACAGCCACCCGGAGGAAACGATAAACTCCCTTTTCCTTCTCGGTTCTGCTTGATGCAAGCGCGAACAGACACGTGGTGGTTCACACAGACCAGGGAGCTGGGTTTCCAGAAGCTCTGTGGCCGGCGGTGCTGAGGGGGGAGACCCTGGTCCTGGCGGACGGACGTGCGGGTGGACGGGAGGGGTCCGGGCGGGGCCCTCGGGAGCAGAGGCAGGGACGGGGAGTGGGTGGTGAGCGTGGGCCAGGAGGGAGCGGGTGGGAGAAGGCAGGTGGGCGGTGGCAGGGCTGTTCCCGCCGCAGGTGCTCGTGAGGCCCACCGTGGGCGAGGGAAGGCCACAGCAGAGTGGGCGTGCATGTCTCTTTCTTCTCCTTTTTAACCCTCGCCTCAGGATCTGTGTTCACTGATTTTAGAGAGAGAGGAGTGGGGAGAGAGAGAGGAGTGGGGAGGGGGGGTGGGGAACCTCAGTGTGCCTCCTACACACGCCCCGACCAGGGATCAGCCCCACGGTCTAGGCGTGTGGCCCGGCCAGGAATCGAACCTGCAGCCTTCTGGTGGCCCCACTCCAACCAGCTGAGCCACCCGGCCAGGGCGGGCGGCTCAGCGTCCAGTGGCGTTCCAGCCCCGGCCGGGGCCCAGGAGAGCCCTGCTCCCCACACTGGGGGCCTCCGCTCTGCGTCCGGAGGCTGCGGCCCGTCACAGTGGGGCGCCTCCCTCCTGGCCGGGGGTGCGGGGACGCGTGGGGGCCGTGTGGCTCCGTGCTCAGCCGGACCAGCCCGGCACTGACGCGAGCCCTCTCCTCACACGGGGAGGCAGCTGCCCCAGGGAGCCAGGTCAGGGCGGGGGTCCGACGCAGCCCGAGGTGGGCCACACACACACTCAAGCGGGTGTTTCGGAGAAACTTGTTTGTGTTGGTTTCCAAGCCTTTTACTGTATAGAAAGGGGCTCCGCCCGGGACTGAAGCTCAGCGTTACGGACGCCCTTCCCCCCCAGAGACCCCCGCCTGTCCCGCCGGTGGGGACCTGGCCCCCAGCAGGCTCTGGCACTTGTACAACGGGCGTTAAATGACCCATTAGGCATATAACTAAAACGACACACACGTTTTTTTTTTAACAAAACTTCATGGATCTACAAATCACTCACAGCGTTTTGGATGGAGACACACTTCAGATTCTGAATCACTCAAACGGCGTTAAACTCTCTTTTTCTCCGATACAGAAAAAACAGAATCACGCGTAAGGAAAACGTGCAGAGACTATATACTTTCCCCATGAAAGTGGCCGTTCTAGACTCACTTGGGAAGACAATGAAAACAAACACCCACGGAGCAAGAAGAAAGTGGCTTTGTGCGACTCCAGGGGAGGGGCGGAACACCTGGCCTGACACGGAGCCCGTGCACACCCGGCCGTCTCGTGGCCCCGGGCCCCCCGCAGCCCCCCGGGGGGCGTGTTCTGGCCCCGGCTTCCTCCTCGGACGCCCCAGGAGGCCCCACAAGCCGGCTTGCCCCTGAGCCTCGGGAAACACGGGTCAGGTTTTGAAGAGCACTTTCAACACCCCTGCGCCGAGAGGAGCCAGAGTCTATTTGCAGCACAAACACGCTTTCTAAAAATAGGGACGCAGGTCGGCGGGCTGCGGCGCTCGCCACTCGGACGGTGAGCCGCCCACTGCTGCTGCGCTTCCTCCCTCGCCGCGCTGGCCCAACGGCCACCGGCCCCCCCCCCCACGCCGTGTGCCTCCCCAGGGTGCTCGGGACTCGGGTCGACCGTCCTGGTAGGACCTCCCCTGAGCGGTTCTGCCCACGGCAGGGGTCAGACGTTTAGCTAGAGCACAAAGCTGAGTAATGTTCCTTCCTCCTCTCAGGGAGCAGTTTGGGGGCCCGGGGTGCTGGTCCGGGGAAGCCAAGTGCGGTGACTGGCCTCGCCATGTGGGGCCCCAGGATCCTTGGGGACCACCCCCGCAGCGCCCTCTGCAGACGGTGACCACAGGTGGGTGATCCTGGTGGCCTGTTTATTTTATTTTATTTATTTTATTTTAATTGTTGTTGCAGTGCAATTTTCTACCTTTTACTCCCATCCTGACCCACCGTGGTGGCCTGTTACTGTGTCCCTCCCCCGTCCCCACGGGAGTCCCCGGTCCCCCGGCATAGCCACCGCTGTCGCTGCGGCGGTTCCGACCTCGGGTAGCGGAGACGGGCGGCCTGCCTCCCCCTCCCCCGTCAGGGGCGCACCCGGGCGTCCGGCCCCCGCCTCGCTCCCTGAGCCCGTCCCACCCCGAGAGTGAACCTCTCCCTCGGTCCCCGAGTGGCCCACTGCGCCCTCCTCGGCAGTCTCACCGCAGTCGAGGAAAAAAGCTTTCCTGACCTTAACTCCAGGAATACAGAATGTTCCAAGTAAAACTTCAGTTGTTCCGAGGGTTTCTGCATTTCACAATCCCTGACCAAAGTGCGGTTGTTTTCGCATATTTCTCCCCTGCGCTATCCCAGAGGGAGCAGGACAACAACCCGCCCCAAACGCTCATCCTCCACGACGAGGAAGCAAAACAACGAAGAGCTCAAAAACATCGTGTACCGAAGCTCTGCCAGAGCGCAGGGGACCCGACGCGAGAGAGGGGGCGCGGGTGTTACTGTGTTTGCGGGTCGGCCGTGTGTCCGTACATTCCGATCCCAGAGTCCCGGCCGCTGCAGACAAACCGGGAGGCCGCCACCCGCCGCGTCTCATGGGACAGCCACCAGCACACACCCCGAACGTCCCGGTCCCCGGGGCTCTGCCTGAGGGACTGGGGTCCACGCTGCCTCCTCCGAGCCAGGAAAACAAACGTCCTCGCTCCCATCACAGGCCTTGAGTGGATGCCTGCCCCGTGCCCCTGGGGCCATCTGGGGAGGACAGGATGGGTCAGGCTGGCCGCCACCCCCAGAGCCTTCACCTCCAGCTGACGGGTTCTGGGGCGGCAGCCAGCGGCTCCTGGGGGTCAGGACGGGCGGTCCTCGTGGGGCGAGGCTGGGACAACCTGCTGGGTTTGTTCGCAGTGGCCGCCACGCTGCCCGTTCCCACAGCGGCCGCGTCTGCGGGCGCGAGGCCGTGAGGGAGCTTGGGGAAGAGGCCCCAGGGCCCCGAACGCGCTGAGATCCGGAGAGTTTTCCGGAACACGAGCTCCCCGGGTGACTGCCCGCCAAGCTTTGGCTAATGGCCGTGGCTCTGAAAAAACTGAACCCGACAATTTTGTCAGGGTTCCTGTCGCTTCCAGGGCAGAGCACAGTTTGGAGTTCGTCACACCTGTCTCTGGGGGTGCCGACACGCGTGTGTTCTGGCGCTGGCCGGTGAGAACGTCAGACTTCGGCACGAGCGTTCGACCCACTGACCCACTGGTTTGGCTCCAGAGGTCGATTTTCAGACGCCACAATCTCTCCACCCCCCACCCCCCCAGCACAAACCCAGAGCTCTGAATGAGCTTCAGCCTGAATCCATAGGCAGGTGTCCTTCCAAAACGCCAGTGTTGTCTTTGTACGTGAGAGTTCTGCAGCACTGAGTATGTGTTCGTACAAACAGTGAGATGTAGAACACAGACATCGTGGTCTGAGGGCAGACCGACTCTTCCTCGAGGTGGGGGTGCTGCAGAGCTCCCCGAGGAGGCCGCAGGGCCTGGCACCCCAGAAACGCGGAAGGGCCAGTCCAGCCCCCACAGCCGGAGCCCCCCCCCCATCAACGCTGGGATGGGAGAGGCATTCTTCCCGCCGTGGCCAGATGGCGCCCAGGACGGTGGCGGCCCTGTCTTAAGCATCTTCCTTACTTGCACCTCGCACCCTCGTCCGGCGTTCTCACGAGGCCGAGCTGCAGAGGGGCCCTCTCTCGGGGGACCGTGCTGCACGGGGGGGGGGGCTGGGGCATGGGCAGCCGAGACGTCCTTGGCGAGGAGAGACCTTGCAGACCAGTCCCCGCGGGGCCGGCATTCTGGGAGTGGCCCCTCCCAGCACGGGCCAGAGCCGGCGCCCGCGGGCAACACAGCCCCCCCATCTCGGAGCCGGAGCCGGGGGGCGGGGGCCCACCGCACCCCACTGTGGGGACGCCACCGGCTCGCTCTGCCAGCCGCTGAGGACAGGACGCTCGGCAGGCCGGGACGAGTGCGCGGTCGCAGAGTCCACCTCGGGCCACACTGGACTCCGGACGGCATTTCAAAGACCCGGAGTCCAAAGGTGAGAGCTAAAAGGTCTAAGATAAAAAACACAGCGATGAAGTGAAAGACCTACTAGGTGTTACTGGGGAAAAAAGATCAGTGCACTTCAAGACACAGCAGAAAAAAATACCCAAAATGCAACAGGGAGAGATGATTTTTTAAAAAATCGGTGTGGTATCCGTGAGCTGGGGGAACACTTGTAGTTCTAATGTGCATACTGTCGGGTTTTCAAAGAAGAGGGCCGGAAAGAGTGTTAGAATAAAAAATGGCCAAGGACTTCTGCATTCGGTGAAAACGATCTCCCCATTTATCCACACACCCGAGAAAACTCAAACAAAAGATGCGCAAGGAGAACCACGGTGTGGCCGTGGTAGACAAACCGCCCAGCACCAGGACGGGAGAAAGCGGAGGAGTCGTCAGGGAGGGAAGGCTCGCCCCGCGCAGCCGGACGGACACAGCCGAGAGCAGACTCGTCACCGGGAAACCCTCGCGTCAGGGCACGGCGGGGCGGCCCCTTCGCGGCGCGGAGCGAAAACCCTCAACGACAAGTTTGACCGCCAGGGGAAAAACAACTTCAGAAATAAAGTCCTTTCAGTTCAGGCATACAACAGCTTAAATATAACTTTTTACAAAGATTTTAAATTTATGTTTAGAGAGAGGGCGAGGGGGAGAGAAAGAGAGAAACATCACTGTGTGGTCGCCTCTTGTACACACCCCACGAGGGGCCTGAACCCACAACCCAGGCAGGTGCCCAGACCAGGAATTGAACCGGCGGCCTTTCGGTGTGCGGGGACGACACCCCAACCCACTGACCCACCCGGCCAGGCCAGGGCCCCCTCACCCTTCCTCGCCCCTCCCCCAGGACGGCCTACCGCCTCCGGGTTCTCCAGAACAAACCTCAAGGCCTAAGGGAGGCACCACCCGCGCTCACACTTTTTCATCTCTTTTGCTGTGCCCGTTGCTCATTAACGCGGAGACACGAGGAAAGACAGCAGGTTACCAGCGGTGGGCTATACAAGTGCAACTGCACCAGGCCGGGTCGTGGCCCCGGGGGGGCGTGCCCTCCGTCCACCGCCCACCGGCGCGCCCGAGAGTCTCCGCCAGGAGCCGGTCTCCATCCGCACGTGGCAGGCCTGGGTCCTGGCGGCGGGGACTGGGGCCGCCGGCCCCGCCCCTCGCTGTGCAGGGAGGCGGGAGACCCTCGGGCCCACGCTGCCCATCTGCGTCCGCGGTGTGTGGGGACCCTTCCTGGAGGAGAAGGGCCCAGCGGTCGCTGACGGAACCGGACCCCCAGAGCCACACCCCGGGCTGGGGAGCCGTGCAGGCGGTCCTCGCCGCCGCTGTGCTCCGCCGGGCCGGGAGCGGTGGTCCTGGGGGCTCGGGCACCTGGGGCCCCGCAAGCCCCAGGCGCCTGCCGCTCCTGCCAGGGTGCAAAGGAAGCGTTTGGGGGTCAGAGGGAGGGAAGCCGGCGAGCTGGGGGGGGTCGGGGGTGATGGACGTAAACCGAGGAGATTTCACCGTGAGGAGGACGGGAAGGCCCCGGCCCGCTCTGGCTGAGCAGTAACCGGATCCGACTCCCGGTCTGGGGGGCCCAGCAGACGGCGGGGGCGCGTCAGCCGGCGCAGCATCCAGCAAACAGACTGCTCTGCGTCCAGCTGGGGAGGGCAGACGAGGCCCTGGTGAGCACGGGGGGGGGGGCAGTCGGTGGCACACACAGGCCTGCGGGTGGGTTGGACGTGGGGGGGGAAGAGCCGCCTGCACCAAGGCCCCCAGAGATCGCCGCGGGCACCGGGGTGGAGCGTGGGGCAGGGGACGGGTTTGGAGAGGGGGGACCGCGGACTCACGGGCCAGGGCGGGTCTGGGGACCAGCGCCAGGCTCAGCGCCCCTGCGGTGGGACGGCGGGGGGGGGGGGCCCCGCCGGGGGGGGGAGGGAGGGGCTGGAGATGCAGGAGGAGGCTGGACTACAGGTGGCTTTCTTGGGGGGGGGCGTCGTGGAAGCGGGTGGATGCCCCGCCCCCTTTTTGAAAGACACGGCAGCCTGATGGGGTCGGGGTCCCTCTGCCGACGGGCGGGGTTCGGGTGGCAGGAGAAGAGGCCGGAGGGGTGGAGGGAGGGGCTGCGGAGAGGACATGGGCCGGTGACTAAGCACCCCCCCCCCGCCCCCCCCCCACCCCCGCAGGGGCAGCATCTCTGAAGGGAATCGCCTGTCACCTGGCATCAGCGCTCTTTTCGCCAAATCGCTTCTGAGGCGACTCCAAGACGCTTCCAGCCAGGGGTAATTATCCGATTATCTGTCATCCCCAGTGTGAGCGGGGGGGGGGGGGGCGGTGCGTGGCGGACTGGCTTTCTCCCCCCACCCCCGACCCCACCGCTGGGTGCGGGCTGTTGGCCGGGGAAGGAGGTGACTCAGCACCCGTCAGTCACCACAGCTCCGGGGAGAAGACTCAGGCACCAGGGGCCATGGTAACTGATTGCTAATCAGGGAGAGACGTCGTCTCCAGCACGGAGCACGCGCCCGTCGGCCGCTGAGCCCTGGAGGTGCTGCCGCCTCCGCAGGACGGGCCCTGAGCCTCCTTCCTCGAGTCGCCGGGGCCTCGACACCAGCAGCCGCCCCCTCGGACGTGCGAGGGCTCTGCGGTTGGGGCCGAGAGCGGGGCGCCCCCCGAGACGGCCACCCTGGGGAGTGTGTCACGGGAAGGCCCGGGGGTCCCCAGGGGCAGGGTGCAGGGCAGCAAGGGAGAGAGCGAGGTGAACTGAGCCCCTCGCTCCCCGGGACTCTGAGCTGGCCCTGCAGGTCGCTGAGCCCGGGGACCGCGGTCGGACGGTGCCCCCGCTGGTCGGGGTCTCTGCAGGGGAAAGTGGGGACAGTGGCAACAGCCCCGAGCTCAGCTTTGCCCGGAGGTGCCGGCTGGCACGGGTAAATCAGCTCGAACGTTCTCCCACCCGTAGCAGTGACCGCACCCCATTGGCTGTTCTTGTCCTCTTGTTCATTGTTCGGCCCCTCGCCACGGCCCAGGGGCCCTGGGCAAGCCGTGGGGTCACCCTCGGCAGCACCGCGCCTGAGCCATCCGTGCGGGGGGGGCACACTTTCAGACCTCGGCACCTCCGCCTCGGCCCCTTCCCGTCACCGACGCCCCAGGGGGCGTCCTCCCTGCTCCCCTCCCCCCACGCCTGCATCCTGCATCCTGTCACCAACACGCGGCTTGCTGACCTCTGAAAACGAACACCTCTTCAGACTTCCTCCCCCTGCACCTGGGACAAAACCCGGAGTCCCTGCCGCGGTGGGCAGGGCTCACGCCGGGGTCCGGCAGTGTCAGCCCACGTCCTGCCAGCATCGCCCGGGCTCCGGGACTCAGGCCGCACCCCGGGGGCCTCGGGGGTCGCAGGAGCTGGTCCTCCTTGGGGAGGTTCGCCCCGGGGGCGTCCTCAGACCCGCCTGTTTCCAGGCGGCCTGGTCTCCGCCCCCGTGGCCCCCTGCCCCACCCCCCACTCTCAGGGTGAACACCCTGACCCACCATGAGAAATGCCCCCCCACACCCGTGTGTCCTCGCCGGGTTGGGGGCTGCTTTGGTGGCTGTCCCGAGCTGTCCCATGTCCCCGAGCAGAAGGTCACTTCTGCAGGGGGAGGGGAGCTGCCCGCAGCTCGGAGCTCTGAGCCCAGGGCTGGCGGGCATTAGGCTCTCAGTAAAAATATTCTGGACTTAAAAAAGAAAGGTCCACAGAGTATGTCGTGATTCTTTGATTTTTCTAAAGATCACAGGAGGTAGATCATTCTGTCCGCCCGTTCATCAGTGGGTGGCTGGCACGTGGGCACTCCCGGGCCAAATCAGGGGTCAGATCGAGTACAAAGGGATTTTTCTGTTTTTCTGCCCCGGCACTGGCTCCCAGCAACGCCCCCTCTGATCCTGAAGGTTCGGGGGACTTCCGTTTGCGGAGGGCGGCCTCCCACGACGGCTGGAATGAGGGTAAGAAACTTCTGGAATGCGGGAAAGGAGGGAACTGACTGTGCGGAAACCGACACCGTGCACGCCGCGCAGAGGCCCCGGCTCCTGGAGGCACCCACGTGGGATGCACTCGGCCGTGAGAACAGACCTGAGGATTTCGCGCGGCGGCTGCCACGGTTTCCCAGGGGTGGGCGTCCCCCCAGAAACTCTCCGATGCATGCCACCCGGGACTGAGGAGGTGTCGCTTCCGTCGAAGGAGGGCTTTCCGCCCGCAGAACTCTCCCGGTTTGAACTCCGATTTCGGGCGAGGGCGGGGTGGCGGGCCTGCACGTGTCCCCTGCGGCGGGCTCTCCTGGCCGGGGCCTCGGACCGCGGGCTCCTTCGGGCTACAGGCCCACCCGGCGGCCGAAGCAGGTCCCCCACAGCCGAGTCACCTGGGAGCTCAGCCCGCCCGGGACTCTGCTCTGCTGGCTGAGAGCGTCACTGATCTCCCTCAGAGAGAAGGCTTGCTTTTGCTAGACTTTTTCCAGCCTTTGGCTGCTTTGTGAACTTTTTATTAGTCCGCTTATTGCTTATTTTGCGTGGTCTTCAGCACCAGAGGGAGAAGGGCGCCACTGTGCTTTGTGCTGTGGGGCCGTATCGTACTGACCGCCCCCCCCCACCCCCCCGCCGTGGGGGACGGAATGCCGACGTCCCGGCCGCCTAAACAGCCGCAGACGACAGACCCAAACATCCCCCTTGCAGAGCGGCCGCGCAGCCTCCCTCTCGACCCTGACCTTAAATACTGGCCGCCCCCCATCGAGGAGAGCCGTGCCCTTCGTCTTACAGCGTTTGTCTCCATGCCGACCGCAAGTGCCAGAGGGTGATTCTTCCTAGAAAAACCAACCCTTTGCGATAACACGCAGCGTGTCCCTGACTAATGAGGTTGCCTGAGGTTGGCAGGCACGGGGAGTCTCGTCGCCCCACCCCGTGCTGGGCGATCACGCGGCGTCCTGTCTGCGCACGCCAAGCCCCGGAGCCAGCAAAACTCTCCCGTCGTTAGCCTCTCTGCCTAACCAGGCTACTCGTGAAGGACCGAGCCATCAGTCACGCCGGCCAAGCCCGCCGAGATGGGAGCGGACGCCAGAGGCTGATGAAATCCCTGGGCCAGCGCCGCGGCCGGCTTTGCCGTGGTGACTGGTGGCTCACCGCCAGTGTGTGTGTGTGGGGGGGGGGAGGCGTCCTCTGAGGTTGCTCAATGTTCCTGGGCAGTCGTAACTGCCCTCTGAACCCGAGGTGGAAAAGAGGGTCTTTATTTATGTGTTTGTTGTTTGCTCTGTTTGGAAGCTGGAGAAGGCTCTCTCTCGGTGGCAGGGCTGTGGGGGAGCCCCGGGCCGGGGCCCTGTCCTTTCCCGACGGCTCTGAACGCAGGGCGAGGGCCCCCGCAGGGCGAACGGCAGCTGGAGAGCTAGAGGCATGTCGTGCGCCGTGAGCACCGAGCCGCTGCTCTGCTCTCCTTGACTGACGGCCACTTCTCCCCCCGCAGAGAGCCCCTCTGAAGCGAAAACTAAAAACAAATATTCCTCACCATCCCTAAAAGAAAGGGCCATCAAATGCGTCTCGCTTTCTGATCGCCACATTCCGGGTGTCCGTGCCTAGCCTGGCCCACAAAGACTCCTTTCCTCCACCCCAGGTGGGGCCCGCGTGGCATGCAGGTGAGCAGCGGAGGGAACTTTCTGACCGTGGAGCAGAGAGGGGCTCCCTGAGGGCGCTCCTGACCACGCAGTGGGTGAAATGGCGGCAGGTTTGCAGGCAGGCGTCCCGGGAGGAAGCAGAGGCCACGGCAACACAGGCCCGGCACACCCTGGGCTCGCTGCCCCTCGAGTCCCGGAGCAGGACTTTCACAGCGACAAGAGGAGGCAAGATAAAAGCTCCCCGTGCTGACCCGGTACCCGGCCCCGGACCGGCCAGAGGAACGAGGATCCAGCCGCTTGTTTTTAATCACGTAGACCGTGATTTATGGGCTGACTCATCTGTGAACAAGGACAGTGTCCAGGCACTGGACACTGTCCACACAGAACGGACGCCGCCACGGCGGGGCTCGCCCGGGGCTGGCGCTTCTGCCGCGTGGCGTGGGGGGCGCGGGGGCAGGGACGCGGCGGCAGGGCCTGACCGGCTATGCGTGGTTTTCCCTCCGGGGGTTGTTGGTTGGGTCTTTTATCCATTTTTCTGTGGGGCGGTTTGTCTTTTTCTCGTGGATTTGAGCCCCATGACGGATGGACGGACAGGCCGTAGGTAGGGGCTGCAGCTCAGCGACGTGTCTCACAGATGTCTCCCCCCAGTTTTTGGAAGGCAGTTTACAACAACAGATGTTTCCCATTTCGAGGGAGTGGATTCGCCCGTCGATCCTCGAGTGATTCATGAGTTGTGTGTCTTGCTTAAGAAACCCGTCTCCACCCCAAGGTGAGGCTGGTTTTCACCCAGGCTGCTCCCGCCGGCTGTGCTTTCACGTTTAAGCCCCCCCCCCTCGGGACTGAGGGTGTCCGCGGCGGGGGGTAGACAGCTATTTCACACGCCCCACGTGGGAACACGTTTTCTCAGCCCCGTATACGACACGGCCCCTTCTTCGAAGCGGCCTCTCGGGACATGATTGTCGCCGATCAAACCTCCGTGTCGTCCCTGGTCTGTGCCTGTGCCCTTACCCCGCACCCTGTCTCCTTGATCCACCCACTGCCCACCCACTGCCCACCCACTGCCCCTGCCGCACACTCAAGCCATCACCCGCCGCAGGGCCGCGATTGGGTTGGTGTGGGGGCAGCTCCTTCGTTTGTTTCTTTACGGGTTGTTCTCTGGAGGCGGAGAACGTGCCTCTTCGGTCCCTGTCTCCCCGGGAAGGGCCCGCCGTCCGTCCGACGCCTCGGATGTTGTTTTCTGGCCGTTTTTGTGAGCGATGCCCTGTGAGCCAGGGGGGAAACGCGAAGCCAGGACCCCTTTCCGGCGGGTCTGCCCCGAGCGTCGCGTCACAGCGAGAAGGGGCCGGTGGTCCGCGGGGCCTCCCTGCCCACTTCACCGGGACACGGGAACAGAGCCTTCACTGGGGACTCGACCTCGTCCCCCGGGCGCCCCGGCTTCTCTGAGTGGCCAGGCGGCCCCGCTCCAGGGGGCGGCCCTGTCCCGCCCACCTCCTGGTCCCCCTGCCGCCCACCCCTGGATCCCTGGGGCCCGGGCCCTGCCGAGGCAGTGGGCACCCGCACACGTGGACGGTGGGGGTGGGGGGTGGGGGGGTGGGGGGGGCTGCACCTTCGACGGGCAGGCCGAGGGGCCAAAATCTCCATCTGGGGGAGACGGGAGTGCTAACCCTTCCAGGAACCCCGGCCGCCAGGCACCGGGAGAGCACAACCCGGACGCGGATGGAGCGCGAGCCCCCCCGAGGCGCAGGGTGGTCTCGGGAGCCGACCAGGACCGGGAGCAGCCCAGCCACGGACGCACGACCTCCCTCCGGCCAGCCACTCGGCAGTGGTGACCTCCGCCTGGCCTCTTGGGCCCCAGGACTTGGGAGGGGCAGTCTCCATGGACCCTGTGAATACACAGCACGAAGCACGAAAGACCCCGGGAGCCACGCTCTCGAGGCCGCAGGGAGCAGAGTTGGGTGACCGTGTGTCCTCTCGGCGTGGCGCCTGGACGGGGAGGGCCAGCAGCCCCCGACGGGCCCCGGACGGACACCCATCCCACACAATCGTCCACAGGGGCCCATCCAGGGGGGCCGCAGCTTGTGGCCAAGGCCAGAAACGACGCCGGGCCGCAGAGGGGCTGAGGGCCGTCCCAGGGCCGCCTGCGGCAAAGGCCGGCTGTTGGGCCTGTGACAGGTGCCGGGTACACGGCTCTGGGTCACCGAGGCGGAGGCTGCATCTGGGAACCCAGGGCCCCTTCGGGCCAGAGCTTGGCCGGTGGCCTGTGGGCTCCGAGCCTCCACGGCCCGGAGCTCGGGGCAGCCGGGGGAAGGGGGACAGCTGGGGGAAGGGGGGGCGGCTGGGGGAGGGGGGCGGCTGGGGGAGGGCAGCGGCCGCAACATTCAGACCCCCCCCCGTCACGCACACGACTTCCAGCCCTCGCTGTGAACAGACTCGTCCGATCTGTGGTCACGGTGCTGAGCGCCCCCAACCCCCGTCAAAGGGCTCTTATTACACCCAGTTTTCATGAAGGAAAATGGTGGTTTTCATTAGGTTATTAGGAAAGAGAAACCTATTTTTAACTCTGGAAACTTCTCTACAGCCCCCTGGGGACGCGGGGACCTGGGCGTGCCGGTCGCTGTGGAAGCCCGTGTTTCACAACGTGGGCCTGAGGGGCAGCAACGAGCAGAAATAGCCAAGGCCTCCCGTGGTCTCAGCCCCGACGCGCCGCCCCCCGGCCCCTCTCCTGGGGCTGCGCCCCGGCCCCCACCCCCCGCCGGCCCGGGGAGCCAGGACCCGGGCGGCTGAAATCGAGAAAGCGCTTCCACTGTGCACTCTGGTTTGAAGACCCTTGAATTTTATGAATAATTCCCCTTTGGTTAAAATGTTCCATTGTCGGCTTTTACCTGTAGGTGGTTTCTTGGTTCGTTTTGGAAAATGGGAGGATATTTAACTGTTCGAGAATCAGAATATGAATATATCAATTTTCTAATGGACTTTGTTGAATTTTTAAAAAACTCTCACCTGAGGATACATCGCTGATTTTAGGGAGGGAGGGAGGGAAGGAGAGACGGCGGGGCGGGCGGGGGGCGGGGACACGGATCGGTGGGCTCCCGTGGGGGCCCGGACCGGGCACCAGATCTCCGAGCTCTGGAGCACCGGCGACGCTCCGGCCGCTGGAGACCCCCGGCCGGGGCTACAGGGGGTCTTCTGCAGTCAGAGCCCCGGGGCTTCCGCCCGAGTGTAACGAGAAAGCGAACGAGCAAGCACACCGGTGGGCAAAGCCCAGAGCAGACGGGGGGACCGGAGGCCAGAGAGATGGCCCCCGGGGGGCGCGGGGCAGGCGGAAAGTGGGGGGCACGGTCAGGGGCCCACAGTGTCGTCATCGGCCGCACGGGGCCGGGGACCCCCGACCTGGTGGGGCGACCACACCGACGTGTCGCGTCAGCCCCTGTGCCCCGGACACCGGCGTGCCCAGCCCACGACTCTCCCACGACTGTAATTCAGAGAGACGACGGTGGTCGTCCTGGAAAAACAGGCGCGCCTTCCGCGCGAGAACAGGAGCACAGTCAGCTCGCGGAGCCGGCTCTCTGGGCGCCGGGGGCCAGTGGTCCCCGACCCTGACGGAGGGAGGGCGGGCTCCCGCCGCAGCCAGTGCGCTCCCCTCCCGCCCCCCCCCCACCCCGCAGGGGCGAGGACGGGGCGGGGGAGGGCCGCTCCCGGGCCGCGGTGCCCCGTCTGGAAGTCCCCGGCACTCACGGGGAGCGAAGCCCCCCTGCCCCAGAGGTCCCCTGATTCTCGCCCCCGCCTGCGCCCCACACGGGCTCCGGGGGTCTGCGGGTCCTCCTGCGATTCTCTCTGGGTCTGAGCTCCTCCCCCTGGAGTGGGAGGCAGAGCCCGCCCCTCAGTGTCTGGGAACGTAGGGGGCACGTGCCCCTCGCCCCAGCACAGAAGGACAAACGGCCGAGGGCGCAGGCGGGAGACTGCGGAGGCGGGGCGGGAACCCTCCTGTCAGTTCTGTGGCCGCGTCTCTGTACCGACTCGGTCACTCCTCGGACGACGCCGGTTTCCCTGTGCGCACCCACTGACCAGCGGCCCGTGTCCTCACAGCACAGCTCCCGAGAGGGGCCCGGGGATCCACCCGGCGCGATGCACCATGGTCCCCGGGGCAGACGGGGCCTCTGAGCCCCGGGGCCCGGCAGTGTCCACGTCCGTCCGTCTGCGTGGGACTCAGGTCGTTCTCACACGACCCTGGAGAAGTGTCACCGGCTCTGCTCACTGAGGCTGTGTCTGGTGGGGGGGGCTGCTCTGGGGCAGGACAGAGGATGGCCTGGGCGACCCCCCACCCGGCACCGGGTGCAGGCCCTACCTCCCCCTGGAGCTGGGGAGGGCGGGCGAGCAGGGCCGGGCGGTGACAACCCTGGTGGGACGGTCAGACCGGGAATGTCCACGACACACTTGACACACTTGGCCACGGTCGGCTCAGAAGCACGCTCCCGGCCGTTCCCGGGGGCCCTGTGAGCAGATGCCCCGGAGACCCCGCGGCGCGGCCGGGGCTGCAGCGCGCGCGCACGCACACGCACACACACGCACACGCGCACACACGCACACGCACACACACGCACGCACACGCACACACACGCACACGCAGACCGCGTCGGTGCCAGGGCTGAGGTGCCCCGTGCACAGAGCTTTTCCACTCGCGAAGGCCGGCTGGGCCCGGCCTGGGCCTTCCTGGTAATCAGGACGGCGTGACTAACCAGCGCCCGGTGCCGGCGGTCTCCGCACGCAGACACGGACGAGGCGGAGACGGTCTCTCCACTTCCCCCGGCCCCGAGTGCCCTTCCGGGGGGAGGGTTGGGGGGGTGGGGGTGGGACTGGGGTCCTGGGGGACACGAGACGGAAATTCACCGTTTGCACGAACGGCAGTGGAACACGTCGACCCCGGCAGGCGAAGGGAGACGACGCGAAGACGCCAACGTCGGAGCCCGAGGGGTTTGACTTCAGATCGCCCGAGGGAGGTGGGAGCGGCACGGGGGGGTGGTGGGGTGGCGGAGGTGCTCGGCCACCAGGGGGTCCCCGCGGCCGTGCTGTCCACGCGTCCCCGGCCACCGCCCAGCTGCCGAAGGCCTGGGGTCCCGGCAGACGCCACGCCGAGGTCCCACCACCGGACCCGGGCCAGCCTCTGCCGGGCCTCAGCCTGGGGGCGGGGGGGGGGTGCTTCCGAGGGAGGAAAACCAGCTCCCTGGGCTTCAGGTCCCAGCTCCGCCCCTTCCTGGCTGGAATCCTGTCTTTTTTTGTTTTAACACGTGTGAAGACACTGTGTGACAATATCGGCGACCGCAGCAGGTGGCTTTGCCTCAGACGGCAAGTGGAGTGCGGGGGGCACGAACCTGCGACCCACCGGGGCCGTCTGTCTCTGGGAGGCCCCGCCACGGCCCCGCACGAGGTGCCCGTCCTCCTCCCACCTGGCTCTCCAGCCCCCGTCGCTTCCTCACCATCATTAGGCCGAGGGTGGGACCCCGGGGTGGGGGTCCCCAGTGCGCTCACGAAGCGCCCGCAGAGGGGTGAGGGGGCGCGGTCCTGTCTGGGCACGGAAGCCCCCGCCGGCCGTCCCTCACGTGTGTCCTCGTCAGGAGGAGAGGACGAGCGCAGATGTTCACAGGACACGGCGGGGAGCTGGCTGGAACGTGTCCACTCCCCTCCTGACCGGCTCGCCCGCCTTGGGGGGACGCTCAGCGGGTGGCGGCCTGGAAGCGGCCGTGGAAGGGCAACGGCTTTCCGACCCGTCCCCGGCACAGCGACGTTCGGGACCCGAGGCAGCTGCTCCTCACCGCGAGCCCGCGTCTCCGTCTCCGGAGCCGTTTCTCTGAACTTCAGGTCGCGACACGCAAAACGCGGAGAATTCGACACGGGGGGCCGTGGGGAAGCAGGCGGAGCCGTGCGGAAGCCGCGAGGAAAAGCCACTTCTGCGTCCTTTTGTCCTGAAGACGGAGGCGGTGCTGGGGGAAACCGTGGGAGACCCCTGCAGCCGTGAACACGCGTGGCCCGTGTGGTAGCCGGGGCCGGGCGTGGCCTCGGAGGTCGTCCAGGCGGCTGGGGGGGGGGGGCTGAGCGTGGAGCAGCCAACCGGTCTGAAACCTTCCTTTCCCCGGGACGGCCGCAGGACCCCTCGGCTCCCACACAGACCGAGTCTGGTCACCGTGCCCAGAGCTTCAGCCTGCGCCCCTCCCCTGAACCCGAGATCACTGCCACCGTCAGGGCAACTCCCACAGGCCGGGCAAGGTGGCGCTGGCTGTCTGTGCGTCTGCCCCAAACCCTCACAGACCCTGGACAGCGGGGACTGGGGCAGGGGCAGGGGGAAAAACCCAGAATTATCCTCAGGAGGGCGGCCCCCCACAGCACAGGCTTCTGCCCCGCTGGTGAGTGCTCTGGGGACCCACCTGTGCCAGCACGCCAGCTGGCGTCGTTGTGAGAGGCTGCGTTCGGCTTCAGTGGATTTGCCCATTGCATGATGGGTGGTTTACAAGCGCAC